AAATAAAAAAAAAAAAAAAAAAACGTGCTGTCCAAATATGACAGACACTACCAAGAGGGTATTGGACATACGTAAATACATGGGCTGCAGTGGGGTGGGAGCAAGGGGAGAAACGGGGTTAGAGGAGGAGCAGATGGAGAAAGAATTCAGTCCGAGTCCAACCCACAGACACAGTGCTCACAAGTACAGGCAACGGTAAAGGAAAAAGAAAAAGTTGTCAAAAAACGTAAAAAGCTCCCAGAATTCCTCTTGAGGTTTGTGAGAGCACTGACTTCCCTTCCATCTCCATCGAGGGCGCACAGGAGAAGGTAACGGAAGGGGCAGGTCCCGGCCGGCACCAGAAGGGCAGTGCAGAGAAGGGCTCTCGGCAGAAGCCCGCAGAGCTCATTAGGCCGGCCTGCCTGGAGCCCCTGAGGGTTCTCCGGCTTTGTGGAGAAACAAACCACGGACTTCCCGAAGGACTCTCCACAGTCCTTTCAGCATCACTCCCTTGTGCACTGCAGGGCTGCTTCCCAAATCAAAGAGACCCTCAAGAGGGGTTTTCCTATTAACTCTCATTCCTTGTTCAAAAGAAACAGGTCTGACTTAAAACCCGAGTGGCCCAGTCCCATGGACCCCCAGGACAAGGTGGAGGGTAGCCCTCCAGGGAGAATGCAGGACAAAACATTCTGCTGCTTCAAATAAAGGAGTGACTGATGTGAGCTTGGGCTGTTCCTTCGTAGAGGAGGAGAAAAGACGGCTTTCCTGATAAAGGAGGCGCCTCCCGGCTCCAGTGCAGCCCACAAAACCAGTCACACAGTGGGATGGCCTCACCCAAGTTGGAAGCCCGCCCAACCAGGCAAACTGGTTTTCTCCCAAGAGAGAAGCTGTGAGTGACTCAGTGACAAGGCTAAGTCCTAGTTGCCTGGAGTTGGGCAGGCACTGGGAGGTGGGGACTGGAGCCAACCTGACTGTGGGAACCCTGTGGGCGGGCCAGGGCCACACCTCAGGGGAGCCAGGAGAGATGGCACGCAGGACTGAGCTGGGGAAGGGCCAGGGACAGACAAGCTGCACAGGCTGGAATCCCACAAAGAAGAGCCCAGAAGAGCACTGCCCTCCACAACAGCCTAGAAAGGAAAAGGCGGGGGTGGGGGGAAGATCGCCCCCCTGGAGCCTGTGCCCAGTGACAGGCGCTTGACTACTGCCTTTTCTACATTCTCTTCCAAAGGAGAAGACAAGCAGCAAGACAGCCCACAGGCGGCCGCAGTGAGAAGGGCCAGGACAGCCTCAGACATCCCTCACTTGTGCCCTCACCGTGGCTGCGGGCAAAGGTCCTGCCCAGGGCCTCCATCCCTACCACAATGCTGCAGCTGGCTCAGACACAGGCTACATCAAACCTCTAGGGCAGGAGGGCAAGAGGCTACCCAAGGAACTCTGAGAGCCTCAGCTGTCATCCAGAATGATTCCAGAAGGAAACCTTTTCATTCCAAAGGACTTACCAACAGCAGGGAAGTACAGCATTCAAATCCACCCTACAGAGACTGTAGCCAAAAGGGATTCTTAACATTATCTACCATAACAGCCCCGAGCACATCTGAGCTCAGTGAGAATCAATGTACAATTTTTTACAAAATGGATAGCAAATACTTGGAACTTTGTTTTCCTAGAGTTGGGAGATAATAAATATGGGGATGAGCGGTTAGCATAATGGCTATGTCGCTGGACTCCCATGTAGTCGACTGTGGTTCGAGTCCCAGACCGGGTGGCTTAAACTCGCATTGGGCGCGTATGCATGCGTGCCCAAGATTCCAAGAGAATGGAGAAGGGATTGCGGCCTGGCCATCCCCCCTGGGGGGTGATTTCTCGCTTTCTGTCTCTCTGTCTTTCTGGGGAGCGCACGTGCCCTATAGCAAAAGCCTCTCCAAAAAAAATTTTGTAAAAGACAAATAGGATTAAATATTTTAAAAAAGCAAAACAATGCTGGATTTATCACACCAGGGATGGACGCAGGGTGGTAACACCAGATCAGCCCGTTCGTCCACACTCTGGTCAACAGAAAGAGAAAGAACAAAAATCAAGTCAACCAGGAGAAAGGGCAGAAGTCCTGTGGGCCATTGACACGACTGCACAAAGGCAGTCTCCAGAAAATAGCAACCAGGTTCAAGTGGTGCCACTTAACAACTGCCAGCAAAATCCCTGTCAGAGTGGGATTAAATACCGAGGGAGCGCGCTTAATAAACTGTGACATAATCCCCCAAGAAAAGTGGGGGAAGCCCCACTGCGCTAATCATTTCAATCTAGGCCTGCCAATCCCTCTGGAGACCAGCATGCGGGAGAAAACCCTGCGGCACAGCCTGCGCGGGGACGGCTGTACTCCCAGAGCCTGGGCTGGCAATGCCCAGGCATGGCTGCAGCTGCGTCAGCTGCCAAAGCCATCAGAACAGGAGGCCAGCCACACCAGGATACAGACGTGGAGCTGGCCCCCAGGAGGAAACAGGAAGAGGCCGACGCCTCGCCTAGAGCCAGTTCTGCCTTGTATCTCCTGGACAAAGCTTCGAGTGCATTTCCATTTTCATTTCCAGAGATGGTTGCTCCTCCTCTTGGGTCAAAGAATAGATCTGGATGCCTATTCTACGGAATGCCAATGGCAGAGCCAGTAAGAATGCCAGGTTCATCACAAACCATAGGCTTGGCAAGAACAGGACTGTGTAAAGAGATCTCATGTTCTAGGGGCCAGCAGGTGGCAAGTGGTTAAGGTGCTAAACTTCCACATGGCCAACTGCAGTTCAAATTCTGGACCTGGTGGCTTGCTTTCTCACTTTCCCTTTCTCTCTCTCTGGTATACTTAAAAAAAATAATAACAACAAATAAAATTAAATAAATAATTCTTTTAAAAAAGAGAGATCTCATGTTCTAAAGGAAGTCGATCCCATCCACCAGCCTATAACATTGGCGTCGTGCTTCTTTCTGCATTCCAAGTAACTCAACCAGCTCTCTTCCCTACTGTGTGCCCCTGAAATGTAACCTGAGCCTTGGTTCTCACCTGTAGAATGGGAAAACAGGAGTACTGACCTCAGGGAAATGAAGGTTAAATGAGATAATGTGGACAAAGCCTTTGATCATGGGGTGAGGGTACAGACACAAAGTGAGCAGTAGATAGCCTGTAGCTTGGTTTTAAAACCCACCTAGCATGAGCATACTTTTTTTTGAGAGAGAGAGATTTTTGCAATTTTTTTGCTATAGGGCACAAACACTTGCCAGAGAGATAGAAAGTGAGAAATCACCCCACCCCACTCCACCCCCCACCCCGCAGGGGGGATGGCTATAAAGCTATCCCTTCTCTGTTCTCCTCTCGGGATTTGGGGCACTCACACACACGTGCCCAGCATGAATTTTGAGTTGCCAGGTCTGGAACTCAAACCATGGTCCGCTATGTG